CCTTAGCTCCCCCCCTTTAAGAGATGTGACCAAAACCAGGAGATATTGGCACACTCTTCTGTACAGAGCAGAAGAAAACAGATATACAAGAGAAGCTGGCATTGTTGTAGACTACTTTAAAAATAATTGTTTTTCCACATTACAGACAAATCCAAGATTAAAAAAAAATATTCCATCAGCATATATAAAAATTGCAACAAGGAAAAAGAATGGCAAGCAGGTAAAGTGGCTAGGTTTTTGAGGCATTGCATTACAAGGTTCTCAAGGCATTGCATTACAAAAGTAAGGCTAGGCTCCTTATTCAATGGCAGCCCCCAGGAACTGTAATTCTCAGATTCCATCCATATTATGAACTGTCAAGTTCAGACCTTACAAGCTCTCCTGTGTGTTTAAAAGTTGTACAGAAGAGAGAATGAAACTAGGTGCAGATGTTTCCATGGAATGCTTGCAGTGATGCTGAATCGGACTGGATTCTCTTTGGAGATGCAGGGCGCGTTTTAGGATCTGGACCTGACGACCCTATCCAAGCATCTGGTTATAAAATCTAGGAACACTGGATTCCTAGCCTCTCCCCACATCCTCCAGGATGGTGTAATCCCCTATCAGAGCGATAAGACCCATTTAACAAGAAGTGGGCACTCCACGACTGGAGAGGACTGTCCCATTCCGGAGCGCTTGTTTGCAAGATGGACAGCAACAACCCCCCCCCACCCCGATCTGAGAGTCAAACCTAGAAATCCTGACTTCCAAATATAAACATCTATGATTGCATACAATTAACCTATATAACAGAAGAACCAAAAAAACCATCCATTTAAAATTGATCAAAGCTTACAGAAATCAGTGCAAGTTTCCAATAATTTTGAAGTTGTTTTTTTTAAAAAAAAATCATTCCAACGAGTAGGGCTTAAAGGATAACTCATCCCCAGTGTGGACACAATTGGGACATTTACCCTTTGAAGCCATTTCCCCCTGTGATGCAACTAGGCCTCAACTTTTGAGTCAAGGGTGCCCAATGGTACGGCTAAGAATGAAGTGACTAAAAGGAAAAACAAGCAGGTGGACTGGAGATTAATCAAGGTTTTGGAGCCTTTATGCCAGAAGGATACGAATTATCTAAAAGTAAACCTCACGGGCTATTTCACAAGTTCTCCAGACTCCTATCATTTAAGAACAATTCTAGCTCGGTTCTGAAATTAGAACGTTATGCTTTAAAAATCATCTTGGCACAATCTCCACCGCAAAGTTTTTTTGGGCCAAAGCTTAACTACACAGAATTGGAAAATACTGGGTTGCCAGCTTTTGTATTGGCAAAACTCCTGTGCCGTAACATCTGCAACAGAAATCTATCAGATACAGATGAGGAGCATGTTGCCTGTATGATTCCAGGTTGGCATGCAGCTGTTAAAGACACATGAACCTTCCAGAAAAAAGATATTGGCAACCCTAGTCAGACACCATCTGCTGTAATCTAAACCCTACTCTTTTCCCCAGAGCGTGTGACAAAACTCTGCACCGTAAACACATAATTTTAACCCTCTGCATACCGTTCTTTCTCCCAAACTCGGGAGACAAAACCAGACAGCCTGAGTTTCAAACTCGTCCATAAAGGACTAGTAGATTCTGTGCCGTGAACTACAACTCTGTCTACATGCTGCAGTAGGTCAAAGCAAGGAAGAGTGCTGGAAGCCAGAACTCCTGGGTTCTCTTTGTAGGCCGCTCGAACTTCAGTGCATAAAGAACAGAGGAAGACTGAACACATTACATCATTCAATGCTTGAGCATGGGGGGAGAGCAGGGTACCAGTCTGCCATAGCCTGGCAAGCTGTAACAGCCACCATACTGGGACCTTTCTTCAGTTCTCCTTGTAGGTCGAGGGGCCATTTTGAGCCAGCAGGTCGCCATAGGCTGCCTCCTCTCGGGAGAAGACCTGAAACTTCTTGTCAAGCTGTGCACGCAAGTAGAGGTAGTCTTGTTGGTCAAGGCTGTGGGCGCAGGTAAGGTAGGCCGTGAAGAGCAAGGCAAGGAGCAGGCGGTCAAGAGAGAGGCAGGGAACGCCCCAGAGGAGGAGGAGGAACTCCAGGTACACAGGGTGGCGAAGGTGGGAGTAGAGGCGGACGGCACGGGTGGACTTCACTGCCAATGGGTCTCCCATGCCCAGGCAGTGGTAATAAACCTACAGGGAGAAGAGCCATTTAGGGAAACATCTGTTCACACTTCATATAGCTTTCCGAAACTGAGATCCTACTGTGTCGTTTTTGCATCCTTTAATGTGTCATTTAGGCTTTGCTTTAGTCCTGTTTTTAGCATTCCAGTTGGCTTTACAACCCTAATCCTATTGCATTGTTCACTGAATATCCCATCCTGTAACTTGTATGGACTCACTCTGTGCAATCTGCCTTGAGTCCAAGTGAGAAGGGCGGACTATAAATAATGTAAATAAATAAAAAATTAAGATGCAGAAAGCAGATCTTGTTTCTAAAAAAAATTACCTCACCCCTTTTGAACATATAGCCGTTTATCCGGGCTACTATAGGCATACGTATCTGTTAAAATGGGAGAAATAACTCCAAGTGTTATCACGAACCCAGCGCAAATGAAATCACATTTCTATGCAATTTCCAAATAACTTAAAATTATTACCCAGCTCTCCCTGGGCCAAGTCCAACACTCTAAGCACAACACCATACCGGCACACTTTTTAATCACCTAGCACTCTTCACTGGAACACATGAAATAAATAACTCTGAGCATATGCAAAGATTTTTTTTTAAGCTGTGGTATAACCATGGTATGCTTCACACAGCTGGAAGCGGGAACAGAGGTTTTGAAGTCATTGCTTCCAAACAGGCTTGGGTACCAGCACCTATTTTGAAACATACTGCTGCCCGAAAAAGAAAGAAGATCTTACATCTTTCATTTCTTTAAAGTTTTCCTCCCCAATGGGCACTCAAAGTAGGTCGCAATATTGTTCTCCCATCCTCCATTTTATCCTGACAGCCACCACCCTATGAACAAATTTAGAGTCCAGTGGCACCTTTAAGACCAACAAAGGTTTGTTCAAGGTATGAGCTTTTGTGTGCACACTGGAGCTCATACCTTGAATAAACCTTTGTTGGTCTTAAAGGTGCCCCTGCACTCTAAATTTGTTCTACTGCTTCAGACCAACATGGCCGACCACCTGGAACCACCCTATGAAGTTAGGCTAAAAATAAAAGGGTGACCAGCCCAAGGTAACCCACTAAGCTTCCCTGGCAGAGTGGGAATTTGAACTTGGATCTACTAGATATGATAGCCTAACTTTCTAATCCCTACACTGTGCTAACTTCTCATCTCATAGATTAGCTAGGGGCTTGCCAAGCTAAGTCAGTGGACTTGGCATTCTCTAGGCAGAAAAAAGCCTACATGGTACCTGTTTGATCCCCATCAGCTCAGCATAGTCGAAGATGAGAACGATGCTAAAGATGACCAGCCAGGCAATGAAGTGGAGGATGAAGCAGATGAGCGGAATCCAGGTGACCCAGGGTTCCGTGTGGGCATTCCAGAGAGTGGGACCATCTGGTACTGGCTGCCAGTACCTCATCAGTAACTGTGCAGGAAAGCAAAAGATGTATTAGTGGCATTCATATATATGCACCCCTAGGTGGTATCTAGGACAGCAGTCATGTCCTGCAAGCACCATTTAGTGCTGACTGAAGAAATTACCCAAAGAAGGCAGTTCTGATGGCTTTGTGAAGTCTCCCACTATCCAATCCATCTGTTTGGCCACAGTGTGAAACAGGATGGTGGATTAAATGGACCACTGGCCTGATCCAACGGAGGGCCTCTTATGCCAGGGGTGTCGAACTCATTTGTTATGAGGGCCGGATCTGACATAAATGAGACCTTGTTGGGCTGGGCCATGTGTGTCACAAAATGTAATGCCAGGTAGCGGAGATATAAACTTTATAAAGGACACAAACACAAAGGTTTTTTTTAACTTAAAACAAAAACATGCTTAAAACATTAGCACTCTTGCAATATTTTGTTTATTTATTTAACAGTGTGATAACTGACACCTCTTGCTCTGAATTATTGCATCAAAATATCTGTGCTGTTGCAATCTTGAGTATGCTGTTCAGGTGTGTATCTGTAAACTGCAAACCTATGATGACACAGCAGCAGCAGAACTGGAAGCAGCAGCAGAAGACAGCCAGTTCCACTGCGGGCTTGGTAGAAGCCCTCCGGGGGCCTCATCCGGCCCCTGGGCCGCATGTTTGACACCCCTGTCTTATGCTGCCTGTTTTGGGCAGCTCTAGTTGCCATGCCAGAGGCAAAACCCCAAACATCACTGTTGCTTCAAAATTGGGATAACTTAAGGTGTGTGTGTATGTATTCCACCACGACAAGAATCTGAAAAACAGGGCTGTCCCAGTTGAAACAGGATGGCTGAAAGGCATACCAATGTGCCAACAATGGTAATAGTTCTTGATTCCACATAGCATGAAGCAGGGCTCTTTGTACATTCTGAAGCAATAAGACTACCCTGAAGTCTCAAGTGGGGCATGTGAACCACATCACCAACACGGAACTGCAGAAAGGAGCAAATTCCAAATCTGAAAAGTGGAGTTTGCTTTGGCAGCTTCACTGCCCTTCCAGTTAGACGTAGCTTTTGAAGTCAGACAGCATGATTCACGATGATGAATTTAGTTTGCAGCTCAACTTCTCTCTAGCTTTGGACTTCCTGCACCGGGCAGGGGTTCAACTAGTCAGGACCCCTTTCAGCTCCAGAACTCCTCTGCTTGAGCAGCATTCATTGCTAGCCTCACTTATACTTCACCTCAGGGACGTCTGTGCTCCCTAGATCACTAACCTTTAATATTTTCATTCCTTCTTCATGTTTATAACTCACCTTTTATTCAAAAAGCTCAAGATGGCATACATTCATCCTCCCAGTTCCATGAAGTAGCTGACAAAGAATGAATGAACCCACCCAACAAACTTTGTGATTCAAATACAGATTCAAACTGCCCTGACCTGGATAGCCCAGGCAAGCCTGATCTCGTCAGATCTCGGAAGCTAAGCAGGGCCGACCCTGGCAAGTACTTGGATGGGAGACCTCCAAAGAATACAAGGGCCAGGAGGCAGAGGCAGGCTATCAAGCCACTTCTCTGAATGTCCTCCATGCCCCAGTAGGAGTCATCAGAGGTCACCATGACTTTCAGGCATGGGCACGCACACACACACACACAAATGCAAAAATACAAAAGGGGTGGTGGGATTCAAACCCAGGCCCTTCCTGGTCTAAGTCTAGCCACTACACCACACCAGACCTTGTGATCCATCCTACTTCTACAAGTTGACTCTCCTACCTGGAGGGCCAGGGCTGTGCAGAAGACATAAAAAGATCTCTGCAGGACTCCCAAACAGCTGCTGGTCCAGCGCTTCACCCGCTCGGTGGCCATAAGACTGTGCTGCAGGATGAAGAGAACTATCAGGCCCACATCCATCATTAGCGGGTGCACAATGTTAGGGTCCCTGAGGACAGCTCTCCATTCATAACTGGGAGCAGGATCTGCAAAGAGAAAGGGCTGAATCAAGCAGAGGCCTATTGCATCCTGTTCCCCCCTTGTATAGTAGTTGGCAGGCACTCAGAACCAATCCTCAAGCTGCTTTGCCTTCCCTCGCTTTATCAGCATCCTTAAGGCTTATGAGGGCCTACTTTAAAGAGCAGGAAAGAGACTATGAGAACATTGTTTCCCTGCAAGCTGGAAACCCCAGGTATCTGGTCACAAGGGCATCCAGAAATCTGGTGCTAGCACTTAGGAAATTGAATATTTTACATAGCATAGCAGAACTGGCACCTAAGAAAATTGGTGTGTGGATCCCTGCAAAATTCCATGCTTGGGGTAAGGGACTGAATTGAGAACGTTTATGAACATCATTTGTTAAATCCGTATACAATATCATGCTTGTAGTAGTGAACCCTCTGACATTCTTTGAGACGACTTGGCATGGAAGCACACAATGTTCATAAGTGTCCAAACTTCTCAGTGATGAAAGCTGTCAAGAGTGATTGTGGTCCTTGTCCACCTTTTAAAAGGGCAAGTTGTCAAGTTGGCTGGGTTTCAAGCTTCCTCCTCATGGGGCCTAGTGAAAGAGATAGCTTTGTGGGTCAAGTCCTCATAAATCCCAGAGGCCTGGAAATGGGTCCAAGAGAGCCAAGAGGACATAGACGTCCTATGGATAAACCAACAAAAGATAGCTATACCTTTAAGAATTACGTAGAAGGGCAATTCTGCCAGTTGGGGTTTCTACTGATACTCAGAACAGTGATCTGACAATGCTGTTCAGGAAACAAGGCCGAGTAGAGTTTTGGGGCAGCAGGGGGTGAGGCGAGGACTGAATTGCACACACCTATTTTAATTAGCAAATCCATGTCTGCAGACGTCTATTTATGACTACACACTATGGGTTTCCAAAGGGCATCTCGTTGGTACAAATCATGGAGGCATTTCAGACCTTTCTCCTAGAAAGCTACCAACAGAATAATACTTGCTATTTATGGTATCTGATGGTACCAGCTGCCCAGGTAGTACCAGCTGCCAAGCTAACTGGAAAATTTAGCAATTCCCATTCACAGCAGCTACTATTCCAGAGCATCTGAATGAACAAGAACTGCTCTTGCATTACTATTAGAATTCTCATGACTTGTGAAAGAAATCCAGAATATTTATTTATTTGATTTATAGCCCCTATACAAAAGGGTCAGAGCAGATTACAACATTCAAACAATCAAAACATCAAACAATTCTGTAACATAAACCTACAAACACTTACAGTTTTTAAGATTTCAGCTGTTTCTGCAAACCCTGAAATGTTTTTGCAGGTTTGCAGAAAGATCTGTCTCGTAAGTTCATGGGTTTCTTGTTTCACTTTCCTTGATCCTTTTGTTCCTTCTGTTTGAATAGTATGTCTGGAGATTTTGAGGGCTTAGTATTTAAAGGCCTTTAATCTTACATGCATCTCCTCCCCATCCATTATCTTACTCTGTCAAGAGTAAGCCATACAAATCTTATCCATAGCCAGGGTAGCAGTGTTCGTCTGAAACAACAGAACAACGTTCAGTGGCACCTTTAAGACCAATACAGTTAATTTCTGGGTATCTGATGAAGTGTGCATCTGAAGAAGTGTGCCTGCACATGACAGCTTATACCCAGAATTAACCTGTGTGGGTCTTAAAAGGTGCCACTGGACTCAAACTTTATTCAAATCCTATGGCAGATTCCTTCTGAGACCCAAGAATGGAGCTCAAAATGAAGCAGGCACGAAATAAAATAAAATTTAACAGAACATTTTCCCCAAAGGCATGATCATCTATCCAACAGAAGAGGGCCTCCACCTCACTTCTGCCAAACCAGAGACAAAAGAGGGAATTCTCATGAGAGAATAGGATTTCCGGCCACAGCGTTTTGAGGCTCTTAGGCAGACTGGCCCCTCTACCCTTTCAAGTAGCCCCTCCAGCAGAACTAGGGGCAGACCTGCGCTGGAAAACTACCTCCTGGGTTGACTTGGCGGCACTCTGCTGTAAACTTCTGCATTGGCCGCGCTTGGTGTAGCGGGAAGTTACAGGAAGGCAGGCACGCCACCTCCGGCTTCTCTCAGTAGGCATATAAACGCTACTCTGGGCCCCGCCGCCGCCACGCCTTTTGATAACAGGGATTCACATGTCTTTATACAGCTGCACTTAGAATCTCCCCAGCTTGCAGAAGGCCGGGGCGAGCAGCGAATGTTCAAAGTGCAAACCGTCTGCACCCGAAAACGTTTTCTGGTCTTAACAAATATCATACCTCTATTTAGGATTTTAAGTTTTATTACGCCGTTTCATTTTTTTAGAGCAGTTTTCAATGTACCGTAACCCACCCGCATGAGAAGGGGGGGGGGGGAATCTAAACGCATAATAATGTTTTAAGGGGGAAACAACCCTCCGAAGACGCCACTGACAACTTTGAGCGCCGCTTCTGCCTCCCCAAATCCCTCCTTTCTCCCTCCCTCCGCAAGAACTCGCACCGGCTCTGTGTTGGGGGGCGCCAGCCCCCGCAGGCTGCTGCACGAACAGCGCGCGGAGCGAAATGAAGCGGATCAGCTCCACGCCGGTCCCAAAGGTGAAAAGGAAACTGAGGAGGGCCGGAACCAGCAACAAGAAGGGCAAAAACGCCATGGCCGGGAAAGGCGCTTCTCCCGCCGTCTAGAGGAACCGCCCAGTCGGGGGAGGGACTTTCCCCGGAATTCCCACACCTCCCAATGACGTCACCGCGGCGTAATGCGAAGACCCAGCGTTCCTCCCTGGTTCGCAAAGGGTGGGGGGATTTCCCCTAGCGTTCCTGGCTACGCCAACAGCCCGGATGATGTCTCAAAGTGGGAGGAAGGCTGAGATTTCTCTCGGGATCCCCGCTTGCCCAGTGATGTCATAAATCACCGGCGGCTAAAATCGGTACTTCCAAAAAGACTTTGACGGCATACGAGGATTTATCCAGAGAGCCATTCATTGGGAAATCTCCCTCTAACCCGGGATGTTTTCCGTAGCAAGGAAATCCCTGCGGACAATGAGCTCTCTAAAGACGCCTCCTGGATTCTGAGAGCTACATTGAGAGGTTTTGCTAGCTTGGCTTCACGCACGCCACGCTCTTAATCCAGTGCAAGCGTAGCCACGAACTAGAGGCAGAACAAGGAAAATCTAAAACATATTTCCATACCCAGAAAATCAGGGGTCATTCTGCATCAGGAAGGGAACAGGTGGCTTCTCCCCGCCCCCTTTTCCCTCCTGCAGTACCCGGGATTTGAAGGGGAGCGGTTGGGACAATTTTTCAGCAAAGGTGGTTAAAAAGGGGTGTTGAAAGGCCACGGGTGCTGCCAGAAACAGACTGGAATCTAAACAGCAACTTCAGGTGTTCCAAGATACTTGGAACGCTATGGGACTTTTAACGTTTGTTCTGAGGCAGCACGTGAACACATGAAACTGCCTTATACCAAACCAAAGCAGTCCATTGGTCCATCTAGCTGAATGTGATTTCTAGAAGCCCCCTGGGGCAGAGAAAGATTTTCCCCAGCCCTTTTAAAGTGAAAATGCTAGGGACTAGAGCAGGGTCCTTCTGCATATGGAATCATAGAGTTGGAAGGGACCTCCAGGGTCATCTACTCCATCTCCCCTGCACAATGCATGAAATTCACAAATACCTCCCCCCCCCCACATACACACCCAGTGACCCCTGCTCCATGCCTAGAAGATGGGGGAAAAACCACAAACAAACAAAAAACACCTCCAGGATCCCTGGCCAAATTGGCCTGGAGAAATTTGCTTCTTGGCCCCAAAGTGGGGATCAGCATTTCCCTAAAGGGCCACGGGAACTAAGTACTGATGCAACCCTTCCTGCCCTCCCTCTCCTGATCTGCCTAAGTTCACAGAATCAGCATTGCTGCTAGATGGCCATCTAGCCTCTGTTTGAAAATCTCCAAAGGAGAGCCCACCACCTCCCAAAGAAGCCTGTTCTGCGGAGGAACCGCTCGAACTGTCAGGAAGTTCTTCCTAATGTTTATCCGAAAACTCTTTTGATTTAATTTCAACCTGTTGGTTCTGGTCCAACCTTCTGGGGTCCGAGGTCTGACTCAAAGCCCCTCTGTTTTTATTTCAAAGGGTGTTAGAGCATAACCCTGAACTTCTAATCTCCCAAAGAAAGTATTATGTCCCTGCTGGAAGGACAAAAAACCCCCCCCCCAATGTCTCAAACTACCCTCTAGAGCAGAGGTGTCAAACTCATTTGTTATGAGAGCCAGATCTGACATAAATGTCACTTTGTTGGGCCGGGCCATGTGTGCCATACAATGTAATGCCAGGTGCCGGAGATATAAACTTTATAAATGACACAGGTAAACCCAATCAACAATATTATTATTTACTCAAAATACAAACAAAAGCAATTGATTCCTAGCAGTGAAAGCAATTGATTTGATGAGGAACCAACAAAAGCCCCAGTAAATGTATTTAATCGTATGCAAGACTAGGTTTTCCCCAAGGGATACCATAAAAGGGGGAGTACCTTACATTTCCATTCATACCAGTTGTTTGTGGGCCGGGTAAGAGCCCTGGATGGGCCAGTTCCGGCCCCCGGGCCTTATATTTGACACCCCTGCTCTAGAGCCCACTTAGATTCAACGGTGATTTGCCACAGAGCATGGGTGAACAAGTGAACAAGACTGCTGTTTAAGAAACACTTCCCAATGTCCCTTGGGTACCCTGCTGAGTCCTACAGTTCTTTGGCTCCTGACCAGGCTGTTTTGTGGACAATCAGCATTCTAATTCAAGGCACCATCCTCCTTTCACCCTTGCAGGGTCCTTTGCCGATCAACACCTAGTCCAGAGACAGACAGCCTAACCAAAATGACAGTGGCACAGCAATGGCAGCTTCCTGTTTCACTTCCTGTTTTGGAGATGCTTGAAATGGTTTGTTGTGACTTGTCCTATTGGAAGTAACAGCTTGCCCGATCGGTTTCATGGAAAATGAGTCAGCGGGTGAAGCAGGTGTCATCTATCAAAACTCGGCCCACACCAGAACAGTTAATGTGTAAAAGTGGCCATTGGGTGCAAGTCAGTCTGAATCTGTAAAGGGAGAGGCTAAGGTTCACACATATTTTCATGTCATGGCCCTGCCTTCTAATCCAAGGTGGGCTGGCTGTGGTTTTCAATAGCACGAGGGTGGGGCTGTGTTCCCATGCTCAAAACAGAGAGAGAGAGAGAGAGAGACTGAGACTGAGACTATAGGAGAGTGCAATATAGGCACAGCATCCCACAGTTTCGTAGAATGAAACCGATACATTCGGTTCACGTTATAAGCAAGAACTGCATAGTCATCGGATCAAATAACATGGGTATCTCCCTGAGGTCTAGAAGCATAATCCCATCTGGTATGCTTTGAAATATTTATTTTGGAATAGCTCTTTCTAACTCAGAAAGCACATTTTGCATGCTTAGACTTAACACATGCATGCAGCTTTAAATTGCTCGGTAATCATTCACTTCCTAAACAGTAAAATATTCAGAATTTCACATTTCAACATCCACTAGCCGTGCTGTGAGAGCCAGCGCCTTGCTGTTGGGGGGCCGGCGCAAACTGGCACTCAGTCCAGACAAGGCTGTGAGGCTATCGGTCAATGACAGAGCCATTTGATAACTGAGGAGTCAGCATCTCTCGGGGTGGGGGGGATTGCGCTTAAGGAACAGGTTTGTAACTTGGGGGATACTGTTGGATCCTGGCCTGTGGCTGGAGGCTCCCCTCCTTTGAAGTGGTGGGGTCCCTGCCTTCAGAATTCCTTCCCCCTTGAGGCTTGCCTGACACCTACCATTTAGGCACCAGCCCAAAACATTTCTTCTTACTCAGGCGTTTAACCATGGGTTTGTTTTTGTCTTGTTGAGTTGTTTTTACGGTCTACTTCTAGCCTGAGGACTGATTTATGGATATTTTTTAGACTGCTCAGTGTTTGTTTTGTGTTGTTTTCATGCCCCTGGCTTGTTTTTAAATAGCTTATTTTTAATACTGCTAATTCATGTTGTTATTATGATTTTGCAAGGGGGAGTCTGCGAGGACTTGTGGGAGGCATCTCATTTCCCCCTCCCCCACTATTTCCTC